TGAGCAGCATGTATGCTCCGGTTACTGCAAGTTTTTTGGACTGTCTAGTCTCATGTAAGTAGTTACGCTCTATCGCTACTCTACAGTGCATGTACTTGGCCTTTTTCATACATGTTAACGAGCGTTCGGGGTCCAGACAGAGCGCATCATGACATAGAGCGCATCATGACATTGATGCCATGTCGGCAAACTTTCGCGTATCAGTGATATGTCCTCCGCTTATCAGCATATAATTCCCGGCCTCCATACACGACAGATATTCTCAAAGACGGGTTCCAATCGACATGCATATGTAAGGCGGGCTGTTGAAAGTGCTAAATCCTCGGCGCAATCGGGCAGCCGACTGACTATCAGATCCCTTCCCCGAACCGCCTGCGGCAACAGATTTTGAACGAGTACTTTGTCTTCTGCGACCCGGGCATGTGGAATGAAGCTCACTGGCCCAGACCCATCTTGATGATCCATCGGCACTTCCTGTTGGTGGAGCGTTGCGTGGGTCCAGGACTGCTTCAATCGCTCAGTCGGCCACCCGCGGTTACTCGCACACAATTTGAGCGTCCGACGGCGCGTGCCAATCGGAAATTTTCGACCTCCCGCGCTGATCACAGTGATTGTCCATCGCCACATTGGAGTGACTTGACTGTGATAATGTGAGTTCAGTGTGATTGCGGGCAGCTAGGAGCGGTGATACACCCTCTGCCTGATGCCTTGCGCGTCGATCCTTGTCTATGCCTTGCGTGGTTTAGAAGAGTTGTTGCTAGATGGGCGCTACTACGGCTCACTGAGATGTCTTCGTGCAAACATGCAGTTATAGCGGTCAGAAACTACTTAGTTGGCCGATGCCACATGCCTTGTCGAATACCCATATTAGTCCGTGAGAGCATTGAGTTTCGGTCGAAATCATGATCTAAAGGACGAAAGTTGAGACTCAGCACTACAGCATTACTAGTCAAAGTTCGTTCCTTCACTCCCATCACGAACGAGCATGCTGTTCACGCTCATGGAAGAGCGCATGCGGTGTGAATTCTCCGACATGGTGGCTCTCCCCCCAGAACGATTCGGGGAACGGAGGGAGTCATGTCCGTTTTTGATGCTGCTTTGTTCTGTGACGTACTTACAGCCTGCAGCGCATCGGCTACAGGTGCTCTGGGCTTTGCATGCGACAGGTCAGGTCCAGGAGAAGACAGATGGGAGAACAGGGGGGAGAAGTGCGGTCGGTCACACAGTGCAATGCTCGCAGGCGGAGAAGAGGAGGACAACTGCCAGTGCACTGATTCCGCGTGTCACGCCCAGACTGGGGGAACGGAAAAGGAAGCCAGAGAGAGGGAGGGACAGAGCCTGTGATGCGTGCGTCAGGACAAAGCCGGTGTGCACAGCTCCCTTTGTCGGTCATCGCATTCAGGAAATTGGTTCTGTGTGAATCTGCGCTGCGAGGGAACGGTGCTTGGTTCAGAAGATTGATTCTGAATCAGCATCAAGTTGGCGCTATGGGGTTGTCGATTGTATACGGCTGCAGTGTGCTCCCGGCATCTTAATCTCTCTAGACTGCTTCTACCATGGCCTGGCGCAGACGGACAGACAGATGTTCCCTGGATGTCTTCCGATGCGACGTGTCTGCGTGTACGTTAAACCCTCGGCCGTGATGCTGCGCGCGTAGCGAATCGTACCGAGCGTCACCGGCCGTGCTGTGGTCCAGACCCCCGGAGCAATGCTGGAATTGAGATGCTTTGCACGCACCAACGCTAAGTGTTAGTCCGTGAGAAAGTTCGTGGTCCGGTAATCCCACCCGCGGCGAAAGTCCGCTCAGGCTCTGCGCGTGCCGATCGGTGCTATCCGCCGACCGGCCTTCCCGCCGCGTATGTCCCTCTCCCACGTGAGAGTGGGTTCTGGTATTGATACTCATGAGTCTCTCAGCGACCGAGATCTCCGCGCCATACCTGGTATGTTGATTTCTCCATACGTCCTAGAACAAGGAGGGTGGTGTGTCGTTCGGGGCAGAAGTTCTTGGAATTTGGTATGATTGGAAGGTGGACTCATGCGCGTTCGCTCTTCACTTGAGCTGCAGAAATCACGGGATCTTAACTAGCGCTATGCCTTCTTATCGTTACTCCGTTAATCCGTGTCGGTCTAGGTATTCGTCGCGAATCGAAAACAATGTGTCCCTGTCCACGCCAGACACATATGTTGTATGCGAGAGCCTAGCAACCCTTCCGTTACGCTAAATACCTTGATGGATTCGTCGCTCAGAGATGTCCACATATATCCGCAACTTCACCGAGATGATTGCATCCTGATGAAGCGGTGAGAATCCAACGTCGGTTGATATCCGGTTGGGTTGACTGCACTGATCATCGGGAATTCAGTCAGTTGGAGACAGCGATGTATGCATTGGAGCCGCGTGCCGATGGAAAGGTTCTCCGATGCGATCTTTTAGACGATCAAACAAATGCAACTGTGTGGATCAATGAGAACCCAGTCAGACCGAATGAGGTACGTGCAGTAGTCCCAAAGCAGCCGTACCTTCGGCCAACTGCGGCATAACTGGGACTCATCGGACCGGTTCGGACTTTCTATGTACTCTCGGTGAAGAGCAGTCGTACGGTCGAATGAGAGGTGCGCCCCTCCCTCTATCCTTCACGCCGATGTGCGATGATTGGCAACCGGTCACATGCTATGAATGCAAAGCTTCTAGGGAGGACTGCTGTAGGCGGCGGCTGGTTTTATGGATGATACATTTGACGAGCCCTGCCTTGGCGAGCAAGAAACAAACCATGCGTATCAGGGATCGATCGGATGATGCACAACGCTCTGCTGCTTTCCTGTCGACGGCCGGCTTGATCGATCCATTTTACCGAAATTACATACGAGCCCATCCCGTGCATTATATATAAAGTGAGCCCCTTTCACGCACCCGACCAGCCAAGCTCCAACGTTTCTTGTTAAGATTCTTTGGGGACCCTGTAACCACTGCGCAGATGTTTCGTTTCGTGTAAGCAGAGTTCCGATGAGGCGGTCTCACTCCGGCCTTGGCGGCGAAACGGCACCTCATCTCATCGCATCTCGTCCTGCATGTGTGGCCTGGCCTGGCATGCATCTCGAGCCCCAGATAACCCTGCTGCAATGTAGCCGTCCTTGGACACAAGCATGCGTGGATGGATGGATGGGATGCCATCACATCACAGAGAATCGTCACGCCTGGCGGTAGTAGGTTGCGTGGGTCCATTCTGTCACACACGGCGAAGATGCGTTGGAATAGGCATCTCCAGCATCTCCGCCTCGCGTGCGGATCGGGTTTTTCGGCTCGCCCGGGCGTGTGAGATGGGTGGCATGATTGGGTTGATTAGATAACTAACGTGCGCCGCCCATCTCCGTCTTGGGTCACTGGTAAGTTGGTAGGCACAAGTAGGTTCCAAGTCTAAATGGACAACTGTCCCGGACGTCTCGGACGCCTTTGCTCCTGCGATGCATCACAGCTCGATCCGTCGGAGCTGTGTGCTCGCTCGCGCATACGTGTTGGACCGGATGGAGATGGGAGGCTCGTTTTACTTCGTGTTCGGAGCGCCCAGACTTGTGATTATGAATGAATTCGACGGTTCGCCACTGCCTGCCTAGATCGTGACGACGAACTAGCCTTCCCGCGAAGCGAGTCGTTCCTGGTCAGAGTCTGATGCCAGGCTCTCGCGATTGATCCGTGTCCCACTGCAAAGCAAGTACTTACCCGCGCGTAAAAACGTGAGCCAAAACAGTCCGTATCTCGCGGTCGGAGATCCTGGTGGTACATTCGGCCGATATGTGTGGAATACAGTCTCAACGGATCGCTGTCGTTCGCGTGTGGTTCGCCAGGGCTAAGCAAGAAGAATGAATCAGTGCCATCTGCAGCTCTGCGCAATTGCTGTTGGATGATTCCCGTCAGTCGGGCAGGCGTTAGCTAGGCCTTATGTTATGTCTTCTCTGTGCGGGTGGAAGGGTAACTTGGTTCCGGCGTGCCGCTACCCTTATGCAGATGATCAGATTGAACAATAACTACGCGGATTTGTATTCACAGACAGACGTCACTGTCGACTAGTATGATGATTAGGGCCTTCCGTGGTACTTGGGTCCGGGAACTCGCGACGTGCGTTCGGTGGTGTCGGTGAGACCGTGCTCGATACAATTCACTCCGTGTTAGCCCCACCGAGTCTTCCATTCGGATTCCGTAAACTCGGGGGGAGGTAAGTACTGCAATCTGGTGGCTACGGTCGGCAGTCTCCGTTGCACCATAATCCGTCCGAATCAGGAAGCGAGTGGTCTGCTCGTTGCGGGTGATCTCCACAGATAGATGAACGCAGAGAGGGGTAGGATCGCTGTTTTCAGACGCACATGTTCGTTCTGGGGCCGGCGAGGCACTACCATTCTACCTCAGTTCACGGTGGCTACGGTCAATCATTCGCGGCGGAGTGTTCCGAGGGGTGATAGTCAGGAATGGAGTGGATTGAATGGCCTCAGAAGGGCCATAGCCGTGTTCGAGTAGAGCCAGACAAGTAAGCACTGGGTAAGGACACGGAAGAACAGGTCCATATACATACACGATTCGTAGAGCACACAGACACAGTAGCTCCTCGCCGCCGAGGGCGTCGGCTGGGAAGTTCGGACCCACATGTGTTGATGAACTCTACTCCAAAAAGGGTGAAATCATTTTTGCCACGCTGTCAAGTAAAATCATTTGCCTCGATATGGGAGCAAGTCACGCGCTGCTAAGGGATAGGCTAGGGAATCCCAAGCACGTGATGAAATCATACCGCCGGATGGCAGTCACGGGCCAGACGAGAAGCCCATGGGGATAAGGATCCGGCAGCGTGTGGTCCCTATTTTTGCAATTTGCTTTTGCTTTTGCGCGCCAGGCTGGATTCGGCCCCTTGATGATCTGTCCTGCTTCGAATATCGTTACGCAGTAATTTTTTTTGTCCTTGTGTGGCTGTTGTCGTTGCTTGCCGAGGCCCGAACGAATCCAGTCAGGATTTACGGACACGGACAAACGAAAAACGCAAGCGCACGTTACTGTATTCATACATATACGATCCGGATGGACGACGCACGACCTTTCCGACAAGGGCGACAAGACAAGCGCAAACGTGCCGCGTGCTTTTTGCTCTGCCGCCGTTGACGACGACGCGACTGGCCAGCCCTTTCTGTCACTCAGCTCGCCTACTTTGATCACACCCAATTGCCGCACCACACACCTCCTCTACCACTATTCTTCGTGCTATCACTTAACAGCTCCCCCTCCTCCCCTCCCTCCTCCACCCCGAGTTGGTACAGGGGATGGCCGCCACTGCACCAGCCATAGGCTTCAACGCGCTTTCCCGCGAGTTGGCGAGCTACACTCTGTCTACGCATGCGCTCATGACGCCGCCTGCGAGCGAGCGGGGCCTTTGGGCGCGAAGTCTCCTGCCATCCCACCCGCATCTCCATCCGCATTCGACGCAGGCCGACCAGGACCACGAAGGCTATCACCACCAGTATACGCACACTGAGATGGGCATGGAGCCGCGCACGTCTCCTGGATCGCAGACGAGGCATTCGTACCAGGGACACAGTCAGCTCTGTACGTCAATCCTTTTCTTTCATTTTTCCTGTCCTTTTTCAATTGCATCTGCACCCTTCACTCTTACATCCTCTTTGTCGTAACATCGTACCCCGACTGACTCCGCCTTCGCGCAGTGACACCCCCAGACGACACCTCACCAATGGATTCTGAGCCCAGATACCGGTATTCTACGGATGGGCACCGCAACGCGTCGGATTACGCGCTTTCGCATCCCGATCCACACCGCCAGTCCGGGGTGCGACATCCAACCCCGCCGCCACCACCCCCAGAGCCCGAACAAGAGCCGGAACCGCTCGCGTGGACGCGTGATTGGCTGGCGCAATCGAGCTCCGCGCGCGACACGGCGCGTGTCGTTGCGGAACGCACTTGCGAGATGATCTGCTATCTATGGTCGCCCCGCCGAAGCGCAAGGCGGCCGAAGAAACCCGAGGATGCGGACAGGGATCGGCTAACGGGGTCGAAAACGAATGGGCGCAGCTCGCCGCCAGCGCGACGTTTGTGCGGTTCGTGCAAAAGTTGCTCGAGACGACTCAGGTGTGTGTGTTTGTGGAGGCGGATAGTGAAAGAAGGCTCATGTGATTGATATGTGTAGGTGTCGCAGTCGGTGATTGTGCTCGCGCTACATTACATCCACCGTCTCCGCGTCGCCTCGGCCGGGGACGCGAACCAAGCTCAAGCTCAGCCGGGGTCGGAATTTCGCGTTGCCGTCGCTGGTTGATGATGGCGAACAAGTTCCTGGACGAGTGCGTGTCATGTGTGCTGTTGCCACTCATCTCTTCTAATGGGGCGTCAATAGCAATACGTATACGAATGCGACCTGGGCGTCAATCTCGTTGATTTCCACTTTCGCAAATCAACACGATGGAGCGCGAGTTTCTCGCAGGCTGCGCGTACTCTTGTACGTCAGCAAAAAGACGTACGAGGACTGGGGCCGGCTGCTGCGGGGGCCTCGTCGGCGCAGAGGCGTCGCCTCGAGACGCGGGGTCCGACACACGCACCCGCATGCAGTATATGCTACCCCAACCGCAGGACTCGCCGTGCTCCAAGTCCTAGCCCCGCGATGCGACGATCGAAGGGTGACGACACATTTGCGCGTGAACGAGCGGAATGGGCGGAGGCTGAATGGAGATTGGATCGAAACGATCAGCGGCCGCTGCGTTCAGGCGCCTTCGTACCAACACTCTCATCCGCCTTCGCATCCCCAACGACCTGCCCCGACGGTGCTCATTCCCTCGTCTTTCGGGGTCGACCTCGGCGCTGGATTCCGCGGCGTTTTGCCGTAACGCGAGCGCCGGAGCGCACTCGTATTCCCCCGTTGAAGGGCAGCCATCGTACCACTATCCTCATCAGCAACACTCCCCGGCGTTGGGGACAGGGCGGCGTTTACACCGTTGAACATTTCGGATCGTTGTCTCTCCAGCATGAAGACGACGATGGACGGAAGCGTGCGCGCCCTGTCTCGTATCACCTTACACCCGAAAGAGATCGAGGGCGCAGTCTGGGTTCAAATGTGCCGCCTGCGCCGAGCACGTTGTGCAATACCCGCCCCAGTATGCTGTGCCGTCCTCTGTAGGAACAACCCTCGCACGGTCCCTCTGGCACAATCGCACCCGCATGCAAGACAGCCGAGCTTTGGATCCGGGCGTGGACTAGGCCTACACTTGCTGCTCGATATCGAAATATGACTATGCGGCAGCCGGTAGTGGTGTTGAGAAGGTGCGTAGAGATGATGGGTCTCGAGCTGCTAGATTTCTGACATATTGCAGGACTTGTACTTTTACGCGCTTGCTGCGTCCACCCATGTCAACTGCCGGATCCCTCCAGGACGACGACCACGACGACGACGGCAGCAACTCTTCTGCTGCTCGGCACGATGGACGGAGCGAATGGTCTGACGAGGATGATGTAGACACGATGACGGACGACTATCGTTCTCCCCCGCCGCGATCCCGGTCTCGTGC